GGCTCAGGGAGCGCGCGCAGCTCGTAGAGGCCGGAAGAGCGTTCAGGGAACGGGTTCGGAGTTCGCAGCGGTGGTCGCGGCTCCTCCCTCGACGGCGCAGCGCGCGCTGCAGGTGGACGGCTCGGCGAGCGCACAGGAGACGTGTGCGCGGGGCGCCCTTGATCGCGACGGCTCGGAGAGCCTACTGGGGCCGGTGAGCCTTCTTCACGGCGTGCCGACGGTGTGGGCGAAGCGTCGCCGCGGCTCGGGGAGCGCCGCGTGAGTGGGGACGCATCTCCTCGGTTCGGAGAACCCTCCATGGACTCGTCCACCTCGCCCTCTTCACCAAAGAGTTCCTTAGGATCCATGATCTGACGGGTTGGTGCTCGAGGAGAGCTGGGGCTTGCACGCTGCGAGCTACGCTTCAGGCGTTGCCGCGAAGTACTCGGATACCGAGAGCCTGGAAGTCGTCGAGGGTGAGCGCGCGGGCGCTGGTGTTCGCGGAGGTGCGGAGGCACACAGTGCAGCAGCACGAGAGGAGCGAGGCTCCGAGGCGGATCTCGCGAGAGGCTGTCTGCGGTCGAAAGACCAAAAGGCTTTATGACTTGAAGTCATGTGAGGGCGCGTTGCGCCGAGAAGTTCTCAGAGAAGTCCACGCGATGTGGATTGACTCGTTCGAGAAGGAGGCTTGACGGAACAAGACCCGGTGGTTGACCGTTAAGCGTGAACACCCGTGTCCACGGTTTGGTGGGGGAGGGTGTAACGGGGTTACACGAGAGTTACCCGAAGGGTTACGAAGTGGGTACACACTGTCTAAGCTAAATCAGTAGGAGAATCAGTACATCGCTTCAGAGCCACTGATTATGCATATGACTAGGGTTCACTATGCTAGATAGTGAACCGGATACATTTACACCGTAGGCGGCTTTGCCGCAATAAAGGGAAATACATTCAGTTTGAGATTCACACAGTTAAGAGTTAAGGGTTGACTCTTGGAGTCCGTAAGGTGTACGGACTCGTACGTTCTGGTATTAGAACGGGCTATCTTAAACTGAGACTCTGCGAGTCTGATAAGCTTCCTCTGACGCAAAGCTACGGCAGCCCCGCTGCACTTATTAGTTACATCCGAGCTGATATGCCTCGCTCGCTCGTCGTAACATCCAACTGGTCGTCGACGAAGAGCGTGCTGCTAATCTAGGTTTCCTCGCCGTGTTGGTGATGCCGGATTTTGACTGGGTCCGGACAGCAGGCAAGTTGCCTTTGAAGGCAGTCCATATAGCAGGCTATGTGAACTCGCGTGCTCCAGTAGAGATCCATCCAAAAGCCGTCCTTGCATCGACGTGAGCAGGGCCAAGAAGATCAACCATGAGTTTTCTGGGAATCTCTGGCACACCAATTCCCCGACAGATAAGATCATGCACCATTTTGGAATTCGGTCAAAGCACTTCAGGCAGTCTTTGGATTCCATTATCAAGCGCTCACGAAGATCTTGAGCACGTTCCGTCAGTAAAGTAACAAGTAGAGCTGCATCGACGACGGTTCTATCCGATTGAAATTCGTGTTGCATTTGGCTGATCGGAATACCAGGCTCAACGTAGCGTTTCACAACAAGAAATAAGCGGCTAGACAACGCCGATTGCACGGTAATGGGCCTCCAAGGTGGTAGTCCTTTGGAGTTATCGAGCGTCGGGTCGATGTTAGCGCACTTAGGAAGAAAAATCATTTGCTTTCGCCGTAGGATAGGTGGAGCTCTGCCCAAACGGAGGATCAGCTCAATTTCTCGCCTCTCGCGACTTCGGACTATGTCAGGTGCAGCAATCCACATCTCCTGTGAAATACCTCCATAACCGGGCGCTAGATGTTGCTTCAGCTGACGATAGACCTCCGCTTGCATTTCAGGCGTGTAGACATAGTTGTTCCACGCCCTGCTTTCATCTTGCCAATATGATGCAAAACAGCCACCCTCAATGATATCCGGAACAATCCATTCACGAGCGAAATCGGGTAGGTCCTCCACATCGTCCATTGACAATGTTTCCAGATACCGTGGGGACTCTGTTTTTTCGTTCGCAGGGATCCAGTTATCCAGGAGAGTAGTTAGTTCCCTCTGCACCTCACTCCGGTCCTCAGCGTATCGGGTTTCCCCAGTGTCCGTGACTATCGCACTTCGTATTGCTACGGGCGGAGAGCCTCGACCTAGGGTGCTGTTCAAAAAAACAATTTATACCTCCGCCGGAAAACCAGTCCTGTCGTTGCTTCTTTAGCTGAGCTCTGATTTGAGTTGATCTCCAGTTTCTTCGGATCCGCATGACTCGTTTCCAGCACTTAACTACACTCGAGACCCACATTTGCCACTCCGCTAATGTTGCTGTCGGAACCACTGGCATCCGCTGTAGTTCTTCATGCAAATGAGGGTGCGCGCACGAGCGCGCACCCTGCCACGAGATGGCCTGGCTGGATTACCCACTTTGGCCAAATAATTGCATTCGCAGCGATTAAGAGGTCATCGACGCCGACATCATCCAAAACAGACAGCTGGGTCAGCTTTCGTAATTGTGCCGTGCGCCGATTACTGTATTTGATGCAAACAGAGCGCGCAAGTAGTCGCCGGGACTGATTTGTTTCCCCCCATAATTCTTTTGCGCTCGAATGCAGGCAGTTGTGCATATTCTCAATAGCCCGCTCCAACCAATCTAGTATCTCGTCGTCCGTGCTGCTTTCGGCATCGATGTCGTCGATCAGAGAGAGTTTCTTCTCAGCAAATAAAGCTGCTGTCACATCCTTAAATTCCATCATCTCTTCACTAGTTTTTGTCCTGGTGTTGATTACAGCGATAGGGATGACACCACGTATCGTCGATAGCACTCGTGCACCGCGTTCCCAGCGAAGCACCGCGAACGGTGTTCTAACATGGTCATTGCTCCTAATATTATCAAGCCATATTCCACTACTTGTCACTGCAGTTTCATGTTCCCTGGAGATGTATATATCATCAAGTGCTGTTTTTACGTTCCCTCGAGCATACGAAAACCTGCTCATAGTGGCATGACGCGCTCGGAAGGTGGAGACTAACCCATTTGAACGAGTCCATTCGGAGAATTTCTTGCTCATTGCTTTCGCGCTGTTTGACCGATCTCCATCACCTTGCCGATCCATCGATTCGTCGGGATAAGTATTGAAGTCGCCGGCAACAATGACTACTGCACTTTCCACTCGAGCTCCCAGCACTTGCTGTTGGACCCAGTTCCACTCTGCCTCCGTTGCAGCCTCGTGACGTGATGAATATAGGTTCCAACTATCCATACACTTCGTGCTCGAGCTAATCTGAGCTTAACGCACATAGAGCGTCGACTAGATGAGTAGCAGATGCTATGTTTCACTAATCTATTCTCCCATCGCTCACGAATAAAGGCCATGGCGATGTGCTTGGTGCCAATGAGTAATATCCCGGCTACTTTAGCTGTCTGGTCGTGGGTGTTGAGCCAAATCTGCTCAACCCGTTGGCTGGTAAGATCCGGATCACTGACAACAACAACATCCTGATTGTTTGCCACCATCCACGCAGCCAGCTCTTCATTCATCTTGCGGCGTAAGTTCCGATTTATATTGGTAGTGCAGACACGTATCGCCTTCTCATCGCTCCGAAAAGCGTTGTCATCATCACCCATGTAGTCGCCAGAGTAGTGTTCCCTCTGCAATATGCTGCGTAGGACAGTGCTTCGTGCTGGTTCACCTGTATTTGCCCATGGCAACCGCACCGGCTGCCATTTCCGACGGTGCCTGCCTCCCCGCTGATGACGCGCTGTTGTATGCAGGCCGGCCGCTTGTTGGTCTGCAATTACCGACGCATCGGTATCGCTCTCTATACTGGTTTCCGAGGTATACACGTCCTCGCCGCCGACTTCTCCTGTAGGCATTATTCCCGTTACGCAGGTCACATCTTGGCGTGACCGGGCTGAATTCACCGTAGCAGCACCAATCATTTGCACAACCAGCACGAGCAGCAGCAACTTCATCCACAACCGAATTCCAGTATACGTCCTAAGGGAGACCAAGCCTACTGGCGCGCTGGGCCTCCCGATCCAAAATTCTGCAAGCGTTCTCCGAGTGAAGTCATTTGTTGGTCCATTCTGTCCCTCAGTGCCGCCACGGCCGCCTTCCAGCCGGATGTAAACTGCTTCAGGACGTGGTCGGTTCGCTGCTGTTGCTGATCCAGTTTGTCCAGACGGTGCTCAATGTGCTCAGTCCGTACGTTCACTAACTCCGCCAGCTTGGTGTCAATATACTGCTGCACGCTGAGTTGCTCGTATGTAGCTATAGCATGATCACTCGGGCGGGATTCCTGTTGCGCGACCGGCTGGACCCCCCTTTGCAATAGCTGATTGGATCGTTTGTTGGTTAGCAGTGGACATTCAAACTTCAAGTGACCGGGTTTTTCACATTCGTGGCACTTCCGCGACCGCTTCTCCTCCCACTGTCGAAGTGACAAAGCAATAGTCTTGAACTTGAACTGCGTCGTGCCCTCGGGGCCAAATTTATTCAGTATAGCTTTCATCTGCTCCTCCGATGCACACACGCCGATTCCAAAAAGTGGCTGACTGCCTCTGAACTCAACGCGGACATTGCCAAGTCCAGTGTCCTCAAAAACACCTTCAATGTGTTTCGGTCGCATTTCGATTCGGACACCAAAGATCCCAATCTTGTACTCCTGCTTAACACTGCGTTGTTGGCCAGGACGATACATGACCCCTAGGTCAGGATCCCATTCTGCGTACATGATAGGTTTGAGCAGTAGTGTACTTGTCGGGTTGCCATGCTGATACGATCCATCTGCCTGCGAGCCAAGGAAGGCTCTGTATACTGCATTCGCAGTGTCTTCACTCGGGAAAAACAGTCGAAATGCGTATGCTATCTCTGGTGTAGTGTACGCAGCAAGCTGCAGGCACTCGCGCGCACAACGTCTTCCATCCTGTCGTACACCGTTCTTGTCAGCAAAGAATCCGTGCGATTCCACCAAAACATCACGCGCCCCCCCACTGCCGCAGTGCTGCGAGTAGTTGTCCGAACGAAACGCGGTTACACTTGACATACTCCAGTTCATTCAGCGTAAGGTTCATATTTTTCCGTCCGGTGAACAGCGGCTGCATCCAAATCTGCACCCCCTTGACCTCTAAAAATCCTGGTTTCAGCATCAACCACAGCGCGCGGTCCAACTTGACCGGGATCCCTGTCAGACTGGTGACGTGCTTCCTGATCCTTCCTGCCCCTTTCTTCACGCTTTCGACTTCGCTGAGTTTGTTGTCCTCGAAAAGCACTCCGTTAGCGCGGCAGGGTTCCAGAATGTCACGCTGAAAGTGTTTGCTATACATTCTGCAGTCGTCAACGTAAACGTAGCCTCCGGACATGGAGAAAGATATCACCGTGTTGGTTGTCTGGAATTCGCTCTGTAGTGCGCCCCACTCACCTTCAGACATATCTCCAATGAGCTCCTCTTCTTCGCATCCCGCCGCCTCAGCGTCTTGATCGGTGCGCGCTCGCTGTCGTTTCGTCCGGCTTCCGGCTTGGTTCTCATTCATTTGCCGTCCAGTCGCTTGACCGTCTTCACCCATGTCAATGTCAGCACCCGCGGGCGCTGATCCATGCCAACTCGAGCTCTCCGATGCCATTCCGCACACGCACAATGGTTGCGGCGTCTCCGTATACAATCTTCAATATATTCCGCCCCTTCGTCTCCTTCTCTCTCTCCTTGGTCGACTTGTAGCCAGACCGCCTTCGGACCCCCCCCCCCACTTTTGCTTCACAGGTCTTATTCGGGAGTCCCCGCCCAGCTTAACTTTGGCATGGCGGTACTGGATCGGCAGTCGGTGTTCCCGCTTGCGGGCGTCTTCGTCCTTCCACCTCGAGGCGATTTCGCCGATTTTCGTGTCGTAGAGGTCTCGGATGAACTCCAGCAAGCTCGAGTCTTCGTCGTCCTCGTCGTGGACGGGCTCGCTTGTTGGGCCGAGGCAGAAGCTGCAGTAGCAGCAGATCACGCCGTCGGCTCTTCCGGTGACGTGGACGAAATCGGATCGGCGGTCGACATTCCACGTAACCACGAGCTCACTCCGGCCTCCTCCATCGCCGTGATGCGGGACATTTTGGTCTCCGACTGAGCTGAGCTGAAGCTTCCGGAAATGACACATTAACAAAATATCGAACCGTTCGATTCGAACGACATCGATTTTATGTAAGTTTTTTTACTGGGGGGGCAGCTTTAGCTGGCTGAACAGCCTAACCAATTTCATTTCAGCGGCCGGGAGCCCCCCCCTCCCAAAAAAAAAAATTAATTGGCAAATGTCGCCTGAGTCCATAGTCCACAGATTATGGCTACCGTAACATCACAAAGTTTGTACATTTCGTGGCTGGTTGTTTCCAGAATGTCGACTGTATCCGTAGTGTGTACCAAACACTGCAAAGCCCCCGGCCGAGCGCGCCATTAACTTCATTCGTGTATTTTGCACGGCAACTTCGCCATTTTTTGCCAGGAAGGCGCTACACTAGGGTTTGAAAACTTGCCACCAATTTTCATGCTACAATTTCTTGCCTACCTCACGTTTGCACACAAAGGAAGTCTACACTGTCCTCCCAGACCAAAGCTTCGCCTCTAGTAGGGATTCGTTATGTATCCGTTGTTGATTATTATCATCGTCCATGGGCCCAACATGCAGATACATGGATGTAGGCATAGCAAGTTCGGTAGAGTGATCAAGCAAGACAAAAGAGAAACTGATGAAAAAAACGAATTTTGCTTGAGATTTGTTTTGCAGCTTGTAGAATACGCAAATGCCCACCTTTGTTCGTCAGTGCTATTGTGCAGCTTGAGAGTCCAGTGTGGCATCGGGACTTTTTAGAAGCGTATCCGTTAAGTGTCAGGGGCCTATCGCCGATAGCAGCGCTAACGTTGCTTCCTATCCCAGTAATATAGTTCCGTATTGCCTGTCAAATCCATCCATACTGTAAGTATCCTATTTTCCCCAATATGAGAACCAACATCGGTAGAGCAAAGTTGCGTCGAGTTCCGGGTGACGGGAGTTCGTCAGTTGAAGGCAATAGCAAGGAGGGACAAGATGAGTCCCCAAACGGTTGAGCAAGGCAAGTTGATGGAGGCCTGTATCGACAGTTTTCTATTAATCCTTGAACAACCAGGACAAGTACGGGTAAGCAGCATGCAGCTACCAAGAGAATCGCCATTAGTGGTGATGATGAAATCTTCTTTAGGATTTTAATGGCTATCATAGTAGTCCTAATAAAATCCCTTCTACACTCCTATTTCCCCTAATATGAACTCCATCCAATCCGAAGATCAGTCCTACCACTTTTGGATAGCTCAGCGGAAGCTAATTTTAATGAGAGTGGTTGGTGCACCCGTCTACTGGCGTCATCTTTTGAACGGCGCCGTTGGAGGTCATGATTATAAGCATGGAAACGTACATGATCGGAAAACATGATTTGTCCAGGATTGGTAAGAAACATTTCTTACCTAGTGAGGGAGAAACAGCGCGACCAATTTAGCACTTGCGACGCTCGCGGAGGAGGCGAATGCGATTGATTCTCGTTCTGAGGAGTCGGCGTTTCCCAATCGAAGGTTTCCCGTGAAGATGCCGAGCAACGTACGCGGAAGCGGCCAAGGCAGTGAGGCCTACTGCGCAGGCCAAGGTGAAGCGAAACAGGATACTGGAAGGCGAGAGCAACGACGCTCATACCGGGGTCCGGGGCTCTGCATGACGCCAACTTCAGACGCGACCAAGAGCACGCTCGACGAGTGAGGAGAAGAGAGAGCACGACAAAGAGCAAGCTGCGATCATGGGTAACTCTGTGGGCAGTGATGGCGATGATGAGTACGATGCTGCGGGGGCTACTGGGGTCCTGCTAGTGGGGTGTGCGTCTAGCCGCGATGGTGATGGCCACGAAGAACACGGCGGAGACGACAGTGCGGCAATCTCTGTAAGCGTGGAGCCTCCTTTGCTCTGGCACACAGACTGGGCTGCATGGAAGATCTATTTGGCTGAGTACTGCGAGCGCACCAAGCAAGTGTTGCCCGTGAAAGAGACCCTGTCTCGTCCAGAGCGTATCAAGCGCTTAAAGTGTACTAAGAAAGGAAAAGAAGTCTCTATGAAAGAAAACGATGACTCCCTGTTGCTCCCCGAGGCGTTTGACCCGTATCAGCGGACTTACATTTGCACCCACGGTTGGAAAAAGAGGAAGTCCCGCAGTGAAGGTAGTCGTCCAAAGCAGCATATACGGTTGACGAATTGCCCGTTTAGATTCGTGGTACAGTGGAATTTGTCAAGGGGCGAGCTGCAAGTAAAGCTTGGATGCTTTACCCACAATCACCCGGTATCGGCTGCTGCCTACGCGACGTATCCGACTTCTCGTGGAGTTGACAATCCACTTGTAGAAGCACGTGTGGAAGGTATGTTGGCCGTAGGTGCAAAACGCGCTCGAATCTACGACTATCTTCTGGAACACGATCAGAATGTCATCCAAGTTGATGTGGATAACATGGTGCGTGAGCATAAATCGTCGGTGTCAAGTGTTGACGATAACGAAGCTACCGCGAGAGAAGTCGCGACTTTCGCAGCAGCTGATCCAGAGAACGTTGCATCTATTGCAGATACTGATGCAGGTGAAACGGGTGTCATATCGCTGGCGAGTGCACACATGCGCCGTGTATATGGCCGATTTAGCGAAGTGCTGCTAGTTGATTGCAGCCACAAAACGAATCGGTACGTGGATTTGTCACTCTACTGAGACTATGTAACAATGATTTATAACGTGCCTTACCTGCCATTGACGTCTTAGCTACAACTATCAGCTCCTTACTTTCATGGCCATGAACGAGTTCAGCGAAGGCGCTGTGGTGCAGCAGTCGCTGCTCGAGGCGAATGGAGATTGGCACATGGAGAAAGCGATCGCCCACTTTAAGAGAGCCCACCCGACTCGGATTAATTTGGTGCGCGTTATAGTTGTCGACAAAGATCTGAACGAAATTCGTGTCCTTGAAGCTCACTTCCCAGAGGCTCGCATCTTGATCTGTCACTTCCATGTTATCAAGTATCTGAAGGAAATGCGATCGAAATCTGATTTTGGGAAGGTTTCTGCTGACGACGCGAGCCAAGTCGACGCAGCAATCCACAGAATGGTGTATGCTGCTTCGGAAGAAGACTACAAGGCTACGCACAAAACATGTGTGAAAAAATCGGTCTGACGGGGTTTTTCGAGTACTTCGAGAAAAATTGGGTTTCGTGCTAAGATCGTTGGGTGATGTATCGACGCGCAGATCTGCCACACTTGAACAACCACACCAATAATCGCCTTGAAAGCTTTTTTGGAAAGTTTAAGGAGGGAGTAGACAGCTCCCTGAGTATGTCTATGTGCGTGAAAGCTTTGGTCGCGTATGACCGTCGAATGCAGAACGAATATCAGTTTCGGCTATCTCGAATTGGCCAGTTCGTGAACAGCAACTATGACGAAGAGATGTCCAATGTGCTTCGCTTTACTACCCACTATGTAGCCAAGCAGATTGAACAGCAGTACGCTCGTGCATTGGACAATGTTTCAAATTACACGATTCGTAAAGATCACGGCGACCCGAGTCTAGTCGTCGTGTACGGCACCTCTTCTGAGTATAGGCTTAGAACGGACGACTGGAGATGTGATTGTGGGTTCTCGTTATCAATGCGCCTTCCGTGTCGCCACGCTATTGCGTATCGCAAGAGCAAAAATTTAGCTAGCCCGCTAATTCCCTGGAGCCGTATCGACAAGAGGTACGATCATACTGACATCACGATAATAGTATATCCTAAAAACTCATCAGCCAATTGCACTTGCTGGTGGACGAACTCAGACCGGAAACTGGAGAAGGTCAGACAGTTCTCCTATGAGAAGTTCAAAGATGCCAACTCGGGTCGCCGCGAGCAAAGAGTGAAGACGCACGCGGAGCGCTACAGAGAGGCTGTGAGGGTCACACATCTGATCGCAACTGAGATGGCAGATATTGATGATGAAAGCGAGTTTGAGGAGATGCTGCAGTTCGTGCTAAACCAATGGCGCAACGTACGCCAGCGTAAAATCGCCGATTTCGAGCAATTATGCGTCGATGCGGTTTCCAGTCCTCACGTTCACCACCACCAAAACGCAATAGATGAGGATGCGGAAGCCAAACGCGAATTCGAAATTAGTTCAAGCGAAGAATCCGATCAGTGTCTAGAAGTGGAGAATAGGTCATCGAGTTGTGATGTGACTGGATTTAGCTCTGTGCACGTACGACAGAATCCCAAGGCCAGGAAGGTAGGGGCACCACGAAAACTGAAATCCACAACGGCTGCTGGTGAGAAAGTCTGCGCTGGATCGTGAGCGCCCAACTCTTGTAGAAACTCAGCGGCGTCTGTCCGGGATCATTGTCAAGTACAGCGAGGCGGCTACCAAGAAACCAAAATTCAAACGCATGAAAAATCCCGTACTCATCATGGACGCGTTCTACATTCTACCCTCAAAGCTGGTAGAATCCTGTTTAAAGGTGCTCCCTCTCTCTAACACTAAAGACACCGCCATAGCCGTGGACGTTAGCTTGGAAACTGACACCAAACCTCGTAGCAAGGAAAACGGAGACGGCTTTATTGATACGGTTCAGATCAAAGACGTCGGGAATTTTTCTCGCATGCAGATCGAGACGTTCAAGAAAGTTCAAGATCTGAAGGAATCGGTGCAACTCGGAGTGGACATGCACAAGTGGCTCATCGGAAAGGGACTGCCCTCATTGCCTGCTAAATATCACGCCTTGGCGAACAAAGTTGCAGCTGACGTGTTATCTGCGTACCCGCGCAAGCAAATCGACGGCCTCCCCAATCTTCCTGACTTTGAATACGCTATGATTTACAGAGCGACACCACCCATGTGGCTTAGTGATGCATCAATCGCGGCGTTATGCCATCGACTACAGGATGACTTTCCTACTTGCAGATTTGCTGGATTTCAGTCAGCTATTCCAAGCAAAACTCGCACGAGACGCATTGACGCGGACCTAATCGATGTTTCGATCCACGAGCGTGTTCTACAGCAAGTCCATGCATTTGGGGTAGACGTCGTGCTGCTGCCGTTGAATTTTCCGAAGGCACACTGGTGCTGTGTGATTACCAAGGTGTATACTTTACTACGATCCGCTGAACCAAGTTTCCTTCATCAATACAGCGAAGGCTGTTGCCACGCAGCTGAAAATTCGAGGCCTGCAAGATTACACTGTCCTCGCTCAGTGTAGGCCAATCCAATTTGACACGTTTAGCTGTGGTGTATACGTCTGCTGGATGTTTATCCACCAGGTCGTCGGTGGGAGACAACTGGACATGAGCAACACCTCTCTGACAAGACGCCGATTCGAGTTGCTCTACTATTTGCTATCCGGTCAACTTCTACCTCTGCAGGATTTAATGATACCGGATCGCATGGAACACGACGACACCGAGGAAAAGATACCCCCACCGTCCGAACATGCCTACATCGATGACGAGGAACTTCAGCCGTCAGAGCTCGCGCAAAAGCTAGTGCCATGACCACGTGCTCTAGAGGTTTCTCAAAGCTTAGCACTATCGCCACAATTAATACATGTAAGCTTTCCTCCAGCTTCCTTAGAGCTCTGCTCATTGAGACGTAACGATTGGGATGACGGCAGTCACTCTATTTTCAAGTATCAAACCAGTATTTGCCCATGATTTCTCTTGCAGTAATTCTACAAAGAAAGGAGAACCACACGAAGGGTATCTTCCGCGTCCTCAACGTATCTTCTCCAATCTTCCTCAGATGGTACTCACTTTAGTTAGGAATCGCTCGTCCAGGATTAATCCTGTACATCGTCATGGACGTGTCCATTACTACAATCCTGGCCTCCAACACCTGCCTCTTTTGAATCGTCCGCTCAAGTACCCTAACCGCGGTTTTGAGATCCATCCGAACTTCGTATACGGTATACTATCTATCTTCAACCACCCATTCATAAATCTGCAGCGGGCTCAAGCATTTGACCCCCCCCCTCGCCGTGCAAGCATGGCTGCTTGTGTTCTGGGGAAAAAGCGACGGCCACCCGGGGCGCCAAATGACGCCGAAGCTGACCTTGATGCTGACGACGCGACAGGATGCTCTCTCTCGGGCCGCGTCGTTACGTTAGACCCGAGTCATGATCTAAGTAGCTCACACGGCGACACAGGACCCCCACTGGAGGAGACCCAGTTCAGTTCCTGGAAAGCGTTCGAGGTGTACATCAATGAGTATCAGTCTCGGTCCTATCAAGCAAGTTCTTGCATTGTATCTACAATACATGAAAGCGATGGTCTAACTCCGATATGTGCCAGTAGATTTTCCGCATCAGAACCAACACATCGGCCGCCGAGCGCAACGCAAAGATAAAAAAAGTCCAAAACCGGGTCTGGTACACCCATACCTGACAGTTTTGGCTTCTACGCGAAGACTCTTGTCTGTACACACAGTGGTGAGTTCAAGTCTCGCGGGCAAGGAAAGTGACTACGGCAGGAATCAAGGCAGACAGGATGCACAGCACAGGTAATTTTGTATTTTTTTTAAGTGTATGCTATCCATTATGCTGCCATTCGGTCTAGCGGGCACCATTAGCGCCGGTCGGGCTCTACACGCATCCGTCGGGCACCGCAGCGGCTGGTCGGGCACTGTGGCACCTGGTTGGGCACTGCGACGGCTTGTTGGGCGCCATTGGCTTCAAGCGGGTACTGCAGCGGCCAATCGGGCACCGCAGCGGCTGGTCGGGTACCGTGGCAGCTGGTTGGGCACTGGTGGGACTGGTCGGGCGCTGGTGGTATCAGTTGGGCGCTGATGGCATCAGTGTGTTATATGTTTAGAGTTATTGATACTATTCTAGCTTTGGATGTCCTAGTTCTGTTTTAACGGGATTTCGTGTTGTATTGGTTTGGTTAGATCAACGCGTGTGTTAGAGTTGTGGATGGGGAAACGCTCGCTGTTCAAGTTACTACAAAGTCTTTAGTGCACAACCACAAACTGACGAAGGAGCTGTATGATCAGTATGCGTCGGTCCGGACAGCAATCGCACCCGCCGTTCTCCAAACGGTAGATGTGCTACGAAAGGCTGGCGCAAAGAAATCTGGCATTCGCAAATACATCCTCGATAACACTGACTGCAAGCCCACCAACCGCGACGTGCACAACCTCGTGCACAGGCTGAAGAAGCGAGAGAACGCTTTAGGTCGGACGACAAGTGCTCAACGGCTGAAGGTTTGGATGGCTGAGTTTGGAGAAGAGGACGGAAATGTTGGCCGCATCTTTATCGATAGGTCTGGTGAAAAGGTACGCGCATGCCCTAATGAAACGGAGAATATGCTTAATTTTAACAACGTCTGCGTTTATATTTTTTCAGGCTATTGCAACTTGTATCACACATCAAACCAAACAAATGCGAGCAGTATTTGACCAGTTTCCGGAAGTGATTTTGATCGATGCCACCCACGGTACCAATGCCGAAACGTATAAGATGTTTTCGTTCATGGCCCACGATGCTTTCGGCCATGGACAATTTGTCCAGCACGCTCTTATCCAGAATGAGCGGCGTCCGACGCTTCTGACTGCCATTGAAGAGTTCAAGAAGAATAACCCAGGTTGGGTTAAAATCCAGTGTATTCTGATCGACAAAGATTTTACGGAAATGTCCGTTCTGAAGACTGCATTTCCCGACGCTACTCTCCTGTTGTGCCAGTTTCACGTGCTCAAGTATCTTCGTGAGGAAATTGGTTCTGCTGACTACGGGCTCAACTCGTGGCAAAGAGAGCAACTGCGCTGTACAATGAGTCTTCTGGTGTACGCTAGGACGGAACTAGAGTACGAGAAATATCGGAGATACATGCGGTACCTCTTGAAAATTGGCCGGTGCACAGTTGCGGCGGCGCTTCCAGCAACTACTAGCACGAGTACTGATGGCCAGTCCGAGAGTACCGGTTTGGCTCAGAACCGAAGCCGTGATGCTGCATTGGAGGACGTACTTGATGATCAAGACGTGGTTTCCGACGAACACATGCAGCGAAGTGCAAATGCGGTCGATGATTCTTGTACTCATCCGTTTGAAGAGTATTTCAAACGGAATTGGGATAACTGCCGAGAGCTGTGGTGCGCCTACAAACGCCAGAACTGTGTGACGTTGGGCAACAACACAAACAATCGGCTTGAGTTGTCGTGGAAACAACTAAAAGATTGGGTGGATTCTTTCATGGAGCTGGACGAGTGCATTGCATCCATCATGTACTACCAAAGTCTACAAGAAAAAAGTTTCCTCTCTCGCGTTTTTAAAGTGTCGACCGTTCATAATCCGGAGTATGATCGCGAGATGTCTGTCGTGGCCAACAGTGTGAGCGAGCACGCCTGCAAGCAGATCTTCACTCAGTACCAGTACGCACGTCGCCGTGATACTACCTACCGGTATTACAAAGCATTTCCTGACATTCATCAGAAACGAGTCCAAGGAAGAAGACGCTCTCGACGAGCCGCGGGCTGAGTACTCTGTGAACAAGCGCAAGTGGGAGTGTTCCTGTATGTTTATGATGACACGCCTACTGCCTTGCCGCCATGTATTTTGCATCCGCCAGGGTATTAAGAAAGAGACGATCATCCCTACCCAGCTTTTGCACCGGCGATGGGTGGTGTCTTCGATACGCGCCACTCTCCCCCCGCCTGAGCTCGTACGCCCATCGTTTGCAGATGACAACGTGCTTTGTGAGCCCGAAGTGCCATGGGACTCCAACAGAAAGTATCGAGAGGCAAAAGCGGTTGCCAACGATATCTGCGATACGCTGGCTGGACTGGGCATGCCCCAGTACCGTACAGCAATGTTAGCACTTCGTCAAGTAGCGGATTTGTTCGAGACGCACGACTTCGAGCAGCTAGCAACTGTATGCAGAACTGGTACTTCAGAATCAATAACCAGCAACATCGCGAAGGACGCAACACATATGCAGAGAGATCCGAGTACCCCAACGGCGTCAGACCGGGAGAAGAGCACCGAAGTCGCATCATGCATCGCGTTGGGCAATCAACGCGAGTCGGGCATCGAGACGGGTCCCGAAGACGAATCGGGCACTCCATCGGTAGCTGAAGTTGACTCGGGCAACGTCGCATGCATTAAAGCGGAGTCGGGCATCGAAACGGGTGCTGGAGGCAAGTCAAGGTCTCCACCGGTCACCGAAGTCGAGTCGGGCATCGGGACGGGTGCTGGAGTCGAGTCGGGCATCTAGACGGGTACCCGGACCGACTACGAGGTGGAGTTAGCCACTGCAATGGAAATTCAAGGTGAACGATCGAACAAAACGCCAACAGAAGCGAGGAATCTACGGGTCAGCACCGTTGTTTCGACGAAACGCACTCAAACTTTACTGACTAAAGCTGCTGTGAAGCCAAGACGCACAACAAACCTGCTGACAAAAGCTGGGAAGCCTAGAACGAAGCGTCTTAATTCACAAGAAGGCCTAATTGAAGCCAAAGCCTCTGATGAATTTAATGTCGAAGGCCCTGAGAGACCACGAGGGAGGCCAAAGCAGAAACCAAAAGTTAAGAAAGCTCAGCAGAACAATGCTATTACGATGGAAAAGGACGACTCGGACATGTTCAAGAAGAAGCTGAGTCTTGCATCTGTGGACGAATGCTTACGAAAGGAGCCAACGTGCGCTTCGGCCGCTGATATCATCGGACAATTCCAACTTTTCGCTCTCCAAAACGTGAAAGCTCCTGTTGCCCACGAGAACACCAAGCTCACTAAGCCAATGACAGCACCCGCCGACCTCGTTCGTATTTTAAAGGCCAACCTTCTTCGCAAGTGCGCCACCAAAGTGACTGCCCTTCAAGCGAAAAAATCCGTTTTAGCAGAGCGGGACGTCGCTGTTGAAATTGTTGGCGTCGGCGTGTACACCACCTCTACTCTTGCAATCATGCGGAAATGGCATCGCGCTCGAAAAATTATTGCCGAAGTTGAAAGAGCGTTGAAGTGGATCGACAGCGTCGACGTTACTCTGGGAACCGGTTCTTTTGCCACTTCTCAAGACCCCGATCTCATCGACAAACTCAAGTCCCTTCCGATTCTCTCGCCAAGCGTAAGTTACCTTATTTCATGGTCTAGTTCACCCGACTAATTATGTATGTTTTGCATGGTAGCCGGAAGGGTTTGATCTCGTAGCACGGGGTTGTCTAGGCCACTCAACGATGCGGTCGCTGATGAAGAAAATGTTCCGCCAGAACCATGCTGTCGTTATTGTGGATCCCACCTACATTCAAATTGGCCGGCGCGGTGAGGTGAGCGTGAATATGGATACGATTCGGGAGATTTTCTTTGGCATGTCGGACGAGAAAGTGTTGATACCAATCAACGTAAGCAGAATCCACTGGGGCTGCATCATGATCGACCTAACCAAGAATGACGTGCTATTGTACGACTCCATGTGCTCATCGTATCTGACAAAGGTGCGAGTAGTAGCCGAGATGCTAGTAGCGATAATTCCTGACGCGCGGGTCAAGCGCTACAGAATCCGCAGGGTAGACGGCGATCTCGGTATCCAGTTCGACAGCTATAACTGCGGCATTTACGCGCTCGAGTCGTTCGAGATATTTGTCAGGGAGGAGCGTACGGGGGTACTGGATAAGGATCTCTTGAAGTGCCTCGATACAGGTATCTCTGCATGTGCATGTAATCAAAGCATTTCTTACGTGTTACGCGCTACAACGACTTCTAAAAGAACTAGTTGTGCATTCAATCTTGATGAAGTATTATTACCCGTCCACCATTCTCTTCAGCGATAGTTCTACTGTATTTGCCTTGTCCGTGGTACCTCTAAGCATCTCGTCCATGGTGGCGACTCGCTGCACCATGTCCTCCGCAGCGGCGGCAGCGACGATGTACTTGGTGGTACCGCTCAGCTCCTCGTCGTTGGTGTCGTCGTTGGTGGCGGCGGCAGCATGGCCTTGGCAGCAGCGGCTTGCACCACCATGTCCTTGTCAGTAGTAGCAGCGATGACACATGCATGCACCACTCAGCAACTTGGACATTGAAGCACCTCTTAGTGACTCGTCCTTGGCGGCGGCGGTGATGTCCTTACCAGCAGCGGCGGCAGAGTCAATGTACTTGGCGGCGGCGGCCCACGACACCATGTTCTTGGCGGAGGCAACAACGGTGATGCATGCTTGCCTGCTTCCGGAGACTACCAGTGTCGGTACGGAGACAAAGCACGTACTGTGCGATGGCGCAGCCCTCGAAGATCGAGCTCTCCCAGGCTTGAGGATCGGACTTGCCCACGGGGGTTATGAACTGAGCCCGTGGCCATGGCGAACTCAGCGCCGTTTGTGGTGTACATGTACATAACATACCGCCCTTGGCGTAGTATCGTAGGCGAATGTTCTTTCCTCAACTAGCCGGCTATACGGTAGTATACTAGTTAATGAACGGGTTCACACGGGCACCAGACGGTTGCAGGTGCAGATAGATGGGTGCAATAACCTCGTCACAGCATGATATACCATATGGTAGACGGGTGTAGCAACAAGTGCCAATTTTAATTGCCTAATCCGCTGATTGCACTCGATCCCGTATAGACGGGTGCAATGTTTAGTCCGGTAATTATTCAACTAATCTGTGCTATTAATTTTGAAGCCTGGTGGCTCCTTGTAACGTTAGTAGATCGTTGTGTTACTGTATAATGAGCTCCTTGTCGTTATTGATTTCTCTTCATTATCTTCGCAGCTAACAATGGCCTTTGAGTTTCCATTCTCACTCGGTAGCTACTCAGTGGGCGACACTTATGCACTATATGATGGGGGTGTATGACCTACGGTATCTTGAACTTTCGCAACTTTGTACAGTTTTTCTAATAATCGGCAACGCTTAGTCTTTTGGATTGTACTCATCGAGATCGACACAGACACGATCATCTCTTCCCTGGTCAGTCTATGTAAGCGATGAGTGAAATGTGTATGTACCGAATAACCTTAGTTGTGAGCTACACCTGATCTGCAGTGGAGAGAAGCTGCGGAAGTTCGCATAAAATGTTGATTCATACAAAAATCAAATATAACACTGGAAGTGCTAGAAAAAGCCGATGCCTTTTGCGATTTTTGATTGGCCAAATTGGCCTGTATCCCTTAACAAGTTGTATCCCATAACTAAGGTTATTCGGTAAGCTCACAGTATTCCGCTAAGGTAAATAATCAGCCACGAGCAGTTTAATGACCATCACTGTTTCTATCAATCCTGACGATGTAGCCATCTTTTTTACGATATGATTTGCCAAAATAAAAACAGCTGATTTCAAGTGAAACCCTCAGTGACTCGATATTCACATGTCAAGCTGTGCACGGGAGGACCAACCAGCAACACTGCGCGCGTCAACCGCGCTCAGAAGGGCTCTTCCATCACTCTCCTGCTAACCCGCAGCATTTTGCGTCGTATATACTCTGGTACAGGTACGTGGTGGGTAAGGTTTGACATTTCTTATGGCACCGCTCGCAGGTAAGTCGGCCGGTCGGGCACGAGAAAATATTAAACGCACCACCCAATGGACCTGTGAAGAGCACATGTACACGAGTCAGGCTAGAACGCGAGACACGTCGTGACGTGTCAGCCAACGACCAGTCGCGCTCGTGGCCAGCACAGGTGGACCACACGAACAATTTCCTGGCTTCTCATGCGACGCACGTGCCCACGCGCAGCAAACAGAACGGAGCAGCTCTTCTCGCGGCGATAGCGAGGTAAGGACGTGCCGACAGGCGCTGTAAGAACCACCAGCGACTAGCGGACGTCAACAGCTCGGAGAGCATGCCTTCCCAGCTTCTAACGGACCAATATTGATGGAGATCTAACCCGAAAGGGCAGCCGGCGGGCTGCCCGTCTAATTGCAGGTAGGAAAATCGCGCCGCTGAAGGATGCGGTGGAGGGCAGTTCGTGCGGGACGAAGGTGGTGAAGGAGGTAGTGGGTGGGTGAGCAGCCCGAAGGGAGCAGCGAGGCAAGCTGGTTGGAGCAACGCGAAAGCCATATTGGGGTCTATACGTACGTATTATTCCAGCGATGACATTGGGTACCGGCTAAAGCTGATGTCTACATACTGTTAAGAGATACAAACGACGGCACCACTACTCTCGCTCGAGCGCTGGACCAGCACGCGGCGGACGCCCGACTGCCGTTGGTGCGTTACCGACAGTAGCGCGCTTCCGCTTCGACGTCACGCGTCTGTTGACGAGGACTTCGGCCCCTCTCTCATCAATTCTGGCGCGTTCTTGCAGCGCAAAGAGGACGTGGACACAGGTCGCGTACTTGAAGTGGAAGCGGCATGGACACGTTTGCGCTACCATGTCAACTGGCCAACCAGTTTCAGGTTGGTTTTTGTTTTCCATTCGTGCCGTGTTGACACCAATTCGTGCTGACCCTTGAATGTCTTCTTTCATTGTGTTCGTTGCAGGATTGAAGACCCGGGGCGGTGGCGTGTACAGCACATGGAGCACGTCGGACGCTGAGCCCCCGAGCAAGAACTCGACGCTCATGCGAGGGACAGCGAATTCGCGCAGACGTTGCTGTGACCTAAGGGCTCTCACCCGTGCCAACATATCCTTCGACGGCGTGGGCTTTGTAGCGAATGGAGCCAAGTCGACGCCTCGTTGACGGCAGCACACAGCGAGCTGCGTCATAAGCTCGCACATCATCAGTAGTCGATGGGTCGTGAAGTCCCGCTTCAACGCCCGGTTGAACTGTTCAACCGGGTTGTTGGTCGTTGCAAAACCGTACGGACACAGGTAGCACTGCCAGCGGCAAAAGCGCTGGTTGATCCCCACGCGCTTGAAGTATGCATCGAACGGCTTCAGCACGGGGTTGTCCTTCCAGCGCTTCTGTGCTGCAGCGAGTACGCCAGCATACTCGGCATCGTTTCGACTGAAGTGAATATCGTAGACGTCCTGAAGCACCTCCTTGCTCAACTCCTTTGGCAACCCCTTCGTTCGCTCGACCACCTTCGCGATGAGGTGGTAGTAGCACATGAGATGCACGTAGTCACAGTCCGCGCCGAATACAGTGCTGACCGCATTGTACTGGCCACCGTCGGCATCGCCCATAACGTACGCTACCTTAAGCGGCTGTCCGATCACCTTGCTGTACACCCAACGCAACGCTGCAAAGGCCTTCGCGTAGTGCTCCTCCTTTTGTTGCGATGTAATGAAAAGCGCGAGCAGATGAAATCTCCTGGCAGCATCACTGATACCACAAACTAGGACAGGGTAGCCCACTTGGTTGGTTTTGTAGGTAGCATCCACATGAAAGATGAAACTTGATGCATCTCGCGCAGCTTGACAAAGCAGCGCTTTCGTGGAGAAACCTATGAGAAAAGGCTTTTCATCGGAGCCATTTCCGACCGTTAGATCGCCCTTGCCGTCGATGTCCCACCCAAACGAGATCGGCTCATGCTCATCCTCCGTTCCGCTAAAAGCGCGAGCGCGAATTGCTGCAGCAATATTGGCGCTGGTGTCGCTTCCGCCAAGCTTCGTACGGCGGTAGTAACAGACGAAGTTCTGCAACTTCTGGAGGGCCGGCAGCTAGCTCGGCTGCAGCGAGAGCTGCTGCAGCATCGCCGTTCGGATGCGAGCCGGCTTCATGCCCGCTTGTGCCATCTGCCTCGCGAGTTCCTTTTGGGGTGCTGTGAGGTTGGGGGTGCGAGGAGGCTTCGCGCTGGTCACTTGCATGCCAGCCTCAAAGAGCGACACCACCATCCGGTCGAGACACACCAGCACCTTGCCTCTCCAGGGACACGCCGCGTAGGGCGCCGCCGTCTTGCACTGCGTGCAGCGGCACGTGAGAAGCTTGTAGCGCGCATTAGATGCGGCGTCGGCCGCGAGCAGAGCGTGCAGAACATGGTCTAGCTTTTCGATGCCTTGAAAGCTTTCATGCACTCGAGACGAAGGAGAGCGACGCTCTCCTTCATCTCGATGCACATATTGCGCCAGGAGGGTGCTTGGGTCATGCTTGGAGGAGGGCAGGGCAACTTGCGCGCTATGGGGCTTCTTTGGAAGTGTGGCGGTTGGCCAGGACGCCCTCCGCTACTAGCTGCCATATAATGGGGGGCTTTTCTGTGTGATTGGGTAAAACTATTTTTTTCGTACTGATGATTCGTTGAAAAGATTTTCGTCTGTGCCCTGATTGGTTGTTGTGCTCGCTCCAGTAACTGGTGTGCCAGCATGCGATTTGATAGTGTTGCTGCTGTGTGCTGTTGTGAAGTATACGGTACTGATGTGCCAATCACTGATTGGTTGTTATACTCACATAGTGTTGGCAATTCATCTTCAAGATTAATATCGTCTATATTACTATTTGAGACCTCGTCAAACGAAAAAATGCTTACGAACCTAAGTACGAATCGCGATTTAAGTACATCAATCGAAAGGGGCTGTCTTGTGCCTTTTTTGAGCTATCAAACGCTCCCAAATATGAAGAACTCGTGGGGTGACACCGGTCTGAAAACAATATCTCTATTTTCGGACCCCCGAAATCCCTGATGTTATTTGGGGCGTATGACCTCAATATTTTTTTGATTTCGACATATTGTATATTATCGGATAGCTCATGTTACCCCTTAAGGACGCTTAAGCGCACCCTGTGGTTGGGTGGCACCATGTTGTGGGTAATATGGTGCCAAGGGAATCTGTGTCACCACAGGTGCAGTCTGACCTGCAACCTCGATCCAGTTCGAATCAAAACCTAGCTAGCTCGTAGCTAGAGGGGGTATGAATGGGTACTCCACATATAACGGTTAGGAAGGTAACAACACGTACGGATTTTTTTCGCAAAACTGCTACTACAGAAATTTATGTATTTGCTTCTCCTCAAGCCTGTTTGCTGAGGACGGACACCGCTCAGCGTGCATACGATACTACATGTACATGTGCAAGTGTCGTAATTACTGTTCTAACGAGTAAATAAACCATCATGTTTGTTCTAACACGAGAAATATATTCTAAAGACACTCTTCGATGAGCTTGAGCACCATTTTGTGCTTGTTAGCCAGCAATGGCGCTATATACCTATTCACTCATGACGTTTAACCCCTTAGTTCCCGTATGTTGTACGGTACTACGTAAGCGGTGTATACCCTAATTCACTTTTTTCGCAGCGTCTCTGGTATGTTGGACCTCCAACATAAGGAACGATTATACTTATTGTTTGTATGGAGACAGGTCCCATGATATCATATAGTGAAAGTAAGATATTTTATTATCAAAAAAGAACCGAATGCACATGCTTAAGTTTGTAGTCTGTAGGTACGGTTGCAAGTGGTAGAGAAGGGAGTGTCTCACCCACTAACCATGAGTGGCCAGCAGGCCGCAGAGCTCATTTAGCAAAAAGACGAATCGAGCGCAAGATGGTAGGCCCGGCCGGCAAAACCCCACGGCACCAGCTAACGGAACACGAGCGGCGCCTGTGCCTCGAGGCACTGCTGAGCGACCGCCACGAACGCCGCGTGCGTCGTGCGCAGCCGAAGACGGGTGATGGAGCTGCGGGGGCAGCGAGGGCTGCGAAGCGTACGACAGCGGCGATGGAGGTCGCCGAGTCAAAAGGCGATGCCCCTGCGCGGCCAAGAGCCAAGGGTAAGGAGGAGGCGAGCGCTACGGCTGTTGCTGAGGCCAAGGAGACGACGGGCAAGAAGGCAACGAAGGCCAAGGACGCAGCAGCCGAGCCCAAAGAGACTGCGACGAAGAAGAAGGCAGCGGCGAAGCCGCTTGCGCCCCGCAAGACGAAGGAGGCGGTTAAGGCAACGCGGACCAAGTCGAAGGCTGCGGCTAAGTCGCCACCGTCCAGCCAGAAGAAAGCCGCGGCCAAGTCACCGGCGACCGGCAAGAAGAGGGCGGCGGCTAAGCCTCCGGCGTCCAGAATGAAGAAGAAGGCGGCGAAGAAGACGTCGGGCAAGTCGTCGTCATCGACCATGAAGAAGACGACGAAGGAGGTCGGTGACAGCCCCGCGGCCACGGTGGGGCAAGAAGCAGCTCATGCAGTTGAAGCCGCCGTCGGTGAGGTCCTCGCTGACATCGTCGGCTCTATCGCTATTACCACGAACCCCAGCACGCCTATTCGGACGCCGTTACCTGCAGAGCAGACTGCGCTAACGTCGAACGCGGGGAAGCGGAAACGGGGATCATCCTCTTCATCTCGCAAACGCCGCCGCGGCATCCATGAAAGTCACGTTGGTGTTCTCCAACATAAGAAGTTGCCATACCACTGTGTATTATTGTAGATCGAGCCAATGGACGACGGGCGCAGTGGTGAAGAGAGCAGCGACGGTGGTAGCAATGGAGGAGACGATGAGCCCTACGTCCCACCCTGTGTCGTCGATGCAGACCCTAACTTGATGGAGGAAGGGGCCGACCGCTATACCGGCCTGAACTCGGATGAGGATCCTGACATCCGCATCCAACATACGTGGTCGTAACTGGAAGGCGTTCAACATAACGTCTAACATATCTTTGAATGTTTTATTGTTTGCAGATACGTCGAAGTTCGGCCCGGATCCGACCTACGCAGACCTCTACGATGGACCATACGGCCCCAGCGACAGCGTCCTCAGCGTGGCCGACGACCCTCTGGCTTTGCTATTCTACTTCCTCCCACCAAAGCTGTGGGACCAGATTGCGGTTGAGAGCAACACCTATCACCGACAATCCATACCGCAACGGGCACGGATGCTACGTACGCAGCAGCGTCGGAATGGTGGAGACGTTGAAGAGCTTGGCGAGATCCGCCGCCGGCTTGCAGCAGTGGATGACATCGAGACCTGGGAAGTTCTACGAGTCATGGCATTGCTGATTGCCAGGATGTTGGCACTTATTCGAAAGGGAAATGCAGCGCATTGGTCACTGAAGAAGATTGGGGCGCTACCTGCGAATCGGTTCGGCAACTTCATGCCGAAGAATCGCTTTTTTCATATTATGGGATATCTACACTTCTCCAATAACAAGTCCCCACAAGCCCGCCTGGACCGCGCGTGGAAGATCAGACCTGTTGTCGACGTGATGCAGCGCACGTTTGCCCGCGGGTACAGGCCGCCCCCGATTATCAGCTTCGATGAGACGACATTGCCGTCACGCTCACGATACAACCCCATGCGCCAATTCAACAAGGACAAGCCGCACCGTTGGGGAACGAAGGTGTTCGTCGCTGCCTGTGCCAAGACGGCATACTGCATGAGGTGCGTTGGCGATTGGAGTGGCAAGCCAAAGCTTGCCACTTTTTTTTGGCACAAGTACTTATGTTGGCTGTGATCCAGCATAATGCATTGCGGTGCTACTAAACCAACATAACTAACTCTTGTCTATGACTGTTACTTTGCCAAGGATCGAGATTTACTGTGGCGCGAAAACCCATCTTCTGTGGTGTAGAGAACACCAGATTTCGCGCGACCAACTCGGCTGGAGTGGTACACTGTACCGGTAGCCGAGCTCAGCCGAGTTCACCAGCTTATCCGGACACGTTATCCGGCTCAGCCGAGTTCGAAGAATTATCCGGATAGCTCATCCGAACCAGCCGAGCTCAAGCGTCGCCGAGCTCAGCGAAGAGTCGGCCGAGATCCAAAACCGCCCACTTTCATTTGGTATTTGTATAGGAGCTTAGGAATAGTGGAGGTGCCCCTTCAGGGCGCCCGACAGAGATAACAAACAACAGAGCAGAATTTTCTAGGTCCACAACACGTGTACACGTTCCGGTAAGTCCCTGCACGGGGCCGGATTATGTCTGCTGCCGGTACCCGAGAGGCATAGCTTGTAGGGTACTCGGCTGGCAGTGCCAAGAGATTAAGGTCGGCCCGGGTTGGGTGCGTGTCTCGCCAAGCGCGAAGGAAAAGTCTCGCCACCGCTGCGAACCGGTGTTCCCGTACGTCCCGGGCACTGATTGTTGAGTCGAGAAGCCTTTGCTCTCGGCGACCTATAAAAGCGCTCCGTGCGCCGCCGTCCATCCTTTGGTGGAGGGCACAGGGTTAAGTGAACGGAGGCCGTCGAACTCGGCGGCTCTCCGGAGGGGTAATCTTGGTTGGCAGGTCTCGACGAAAGGCGAGACACCCGCTGTCCCGGTTGGGCCGAACCGCTCGGGGGCAATCCGGCGCAGGCCAACAAAGCCGACCAGCTCGGCTATTGTTGTGTTTGTAGCCAAGTTACCACAACTGACGATTTTGTGTGTACTGCTATACCACAACTGGTGCCGCGACCCGGGAACAGGGGTGTGCTTGTGTTTCGTAGGTACCAGCTAACCAAGGTTTGAGAAGAAGAGACGATAACAGAGTGTGAAGATGGTCAAGGGAATTGTTACGCCGAGTCCAGCGACGGTTGGAAGTAACTCGGCTAGACTGACCAACTCGGCGGACTCGGCGAATGCGACGATCACGGACGCGACGGCGGACGAGGCGCGCACCGTCCAGTTCGATGAGGAGGATGCCCAAGACCAAGAAAGTGAGGAAGATCTTGAGGATGAGTATGAGGAGAAAGCTGAGCTACTCGGCGAAGTCGACGAGTTGTCGCTGCAAGTCGGACGGATGGGTACCCCACGTCCAGTTGTGCGCAACCTGGCGGCCGAGCTCGGCAATGATACGGACGACGAAGATCAAGCCGCCGCTCAAGGGGAACGTCCGCCCCTGATCCCGCGAACGACGAGGAATGCGGATACGCCAAGTGTGAACAAGGTTCTGGGCAGGCTCGGAGAGGAGATGCGAGCTCAGAGCGAGTGGATGATGATGTTTGCCCCAGTGGCGATGGCTCAGGCGAGATGGCCGGTGCTGGGGCCCGAGCTGACTCAGCCGGTGAACAGCACCGACATCAACCAACTGGTCGAAGACACGGTGTTGCTACTCAAGGCGATGGGGTTCCGGTGCACGAGCCGACCCAACAGCCTGTCACTCGGCGATTGGGACCCCAGCCGAGCTTCACGCGAAATCCTCAAGTGGAAGCGTCGGTTGAGAGTCTCGTTTGGTCTCGAGCGGGGGGGGGCGTCGGAACTCGGCAGACTCTTGCGAAACGAGTGGTTGATACTCCGAAGACCGTCGAAGACCCCAGCAGGATTCCCCTGCCGAAGACTTCCGAACGCAAGAGAGCCGAGGTGTTCCGCTCTACTGAGGGTACGCCGTATTTCGAAGATTCGCATATGAAGACGCCAACGCGTGGCAAGCAGCCAAGTGGACGCTACGCTGAGTTGTTTGACGCTGCAGACGCAGCCGAGCTCAGCGACAGCGACGATGGGCGCGAGTACCTGAACTCGGCTGAAGAGTCGGTGAAGGACGTCATCAAGCACCTTAGCTTCGATGACGCTGAAAGTGATCGGACGCAGTACTTGGAGGTTCGCACCCATGCGTCCCTCGACAAGATCCCTATGTTCGAAGGCAAACGTTACCGGCCGGATGACTCTCTCCAGTGGCTTAAGCGGTTCATCTACGAGATGAAAGGAACTCGGCTGGCACAAGACCTCTGGTACGAGCCATTCTCGCTGAAGCTGGAGCGAGGCGCGAAGAGCTGGTATCGCCAGCTCCCGAAGAAAACGCAACGGAAGTGGAGTCTGCTGAGTGAGGCATTCGCCGACTACTACTGTTCGTAGTTTGACCAGTCGGCACGAGCTGGCTATTACTCGGCTCAGCGCAAAGACAACGAGCTGGTGTGTGACTTCCTTATTCGTCTCAACGGATATGCGAAGTCGGCGAAAATCCAGTACGAGGCCGGTGGAGCGGATGCTGTTGACCATGTGGAACACTTCCTGTTGCACTGCGGAGATGATGACGTCATGGATCTGCTCTATCCGCAACAGCTCACCGACATCAAGAAGGTCGAGAAGATCATCAACCAGAAGATCCTGGGGGAGCGCCGGAAGAAACAGCGCGACCGTCTCATCGGAAGCCGCAGCCGAGATGCCAAGCGCACCGATTCGCCAAGGCACTCGGAAGCTCGCCGGAGTGAGCCGCGCCGAGATGACCGCTGAGACGACCGCCGGGAACGACGCAGAGATGACCGCCCAGATGACCGGCGAAGCCGACGCGACGATGGTCGAGACCGCCGACTAGCGACAGCGCTGCTGGAGGACGACTCGTATGAGCTGGCTGAGAGACGCCAATCCAATCGGCGATCCAACCTCTACGACTCGGACAGCGATCAGAGCGACGGCAGCCAGCCGAGCTACTCCGACTCGGCTGTAGACTCGGAAGACGATTACATCGACACCGGGTTCACTAGCGACCGCGACCGTAGATCGGGGGACCGAGGGAACTCGGCTGGGATACCAAGGAGTGATTACCGAAGGGGTCAGCCGAGCTCGGCTGACCGCGCCAGTCGAGGATACGATCGGCGTGACCAGACTGGGCGGCGCAGTGACTCCCGTGAACGCCCTTCGTATGGACCTTGTGCTGCCTGCGGTGGTGCGAACCACTCCGTTCACTACTGCCGCCGTCGCTGCAAGTTCTGCAAGCAATTGCACGATGTCGGTCAATGCGAGCTGTTCCAGCGCTATGAGAAGCTCGCCGCATTTGTCAAGTCCAATGTCGACAAGTCCAAGTTACCTGAAGACCTCCAGGACCTCTACACGCCGAGTGATTTAAACTCAGCGGCCCGCCAACACTGACTGGGTTGGATGATACCGGGCTGCCACAGTCAGCTGAGCCAGTAGTAGAGGCGAACTTTGTGTTTGCCTTTGTGGGTGAGGCAGGAAGGCCCGAGGACCGAGGAGAAGACGACGTATTGGATTGTGAATGCGATGGACTTGATGGTGAGCTCGGCGAGAGTGGAGAAGAAAGCCGAGCAAGAATGTGCAGTGCAGTTGCGACTCAGCGATCGACGGATGTGACCACAGCCACCAGAGTTATGAAGCTGCTCCCTGTGGAGCGACTCGGCTGGTGGTCGTCACAAAAGTTTGACCGCCGAGTTCGGATGAGAGCTCTTGTTATGGGAGCAGTGAACGACCGGCGCACAAAGATATTGCTCGACACGGGTGCGAATGTGTCGGCAATAAGCGAAGGGTTCGTGAAAAGGCTGCGGTTGAAGCGGTTCACACGCCAGGACCAACAGATTGGCGTTCAAGGTATTGGGAAAGGCAAAGTGGCGACTATGTCACGAGCGATGGTGAAGGTGACGCTCGGCTGGGAGGTCACGTATGAATTTGAAGTATGGATCCTCGATCACCACGCGGGAGTCGAGTTGATTCTCGGTACGGACTTCATGATTCCGGCTGGGATCCGCCTGGATCTGTACAACTCGGTGGCGAAGTTGACAGATGAAGTTGTCCTACCTCTCGTGAGGTCCCAGAACTCAGCGGATGAACCGAAGGGCGGCCTCTACATCACAGACCGCCCGACCGAACCGGTGAATCTCGAGAGCCGAGTTCCCACCGAGTTCAGGCTGATGAGGAATCAACCGAGTGATGAAACACATGACTTCTGGGTACGCCGGACTAAGGACTGGGTACCGACCGTGGTATTCGACCGGCGTAACCGAGTGGCTCGAGTTCGCCTGACCAACCTTAAGCCGACTTGGACGTGGTGCCCAGCACATTTCCCAGTCGTTGCCTGGGCGCCGCATGGGGTGTTACCGCCCGATGGTTATGTCAGGCTGCACTCGGCGAAGTACAAAGATTGGCAAGTCATGGCCTACGACGCGGCTATGGATAAGGATCTGCTGCAAAAGGAACAACAGCTGTACGCCGAGTGGCTGGCTCGACAGCCGTCAGCTGTGGACCGTAGAAACTACCCTGAACCGAAAGGGGTGACTACGTGGCCGTCTACCAAGCAGCGGGATTCGGCATTGACTTGCGCCCAGCAATGGGAGAAGTTAGCCGAGTCCGAGGAGCGAGCCGAGGCAGAAGCAGTCGATAGTCCACCCTCGACTCTGACAGAGCCAGCGAACTCGGCAACCGCTACCCTAGCGCCTGAGGAAGTAGCATTGAGCGCGGAGCCTACTGCAGACTTGGTCAATGATCCACCTGGTCGAGCAGAGATCACAGTGACAGCTGGTCAAGAAGCGCCCAGCCAAAACGCCTGTGCAGCAGATGAGTGTGAAAGTGAGCAATCCAGCGATTGGTCTGACTGGACGATCATCGATGACCCCGGGCCCAAGCCGCCGAGTCCAAGGCTCGAAGATGAGGTCGATGTGAACGACGAGCCCATGTCGTCAGACCCGGAGGAAGACCTGCGCTTACGTTACCTTCTGGCAGCCAAGTACGTGGAAGAGACAGATGGCCGAGGCGACTCGGCGGGAGACTCAGCCGAGTTCGAGCACCAGGCAACGAACTTGGAGCTCGAAGACTATGCTCGCGAGTTGGCGTTCCTGCCCGATCTGACTGAAGCGGTGTCGACGCCACTCGACTATGAAGCGCCAAACGTTCGGAGCTCGGCGCACACTCGGCCACAGTCTACTCGGCTGGTGGAAGTATTGAAGAGCCATGAAAAGATCATGATCTCCAGTGGTAATGCCCTACCTCCACCAGCATACGGCGTAGTGTGCGACATCGACGTACAAGGGCATCCGCCAATCCGCCAACGAGCCCGCCGAGTTCTGCTGAAGCATCTCGGCAAGTTGTACGAGCTGCTCAAGGCGCTGCTACGAGCTCGGCTAATCGCCTTCTCGAACAGCCCATGGGCATCACCCATCGTGATTGTCCTAAAGAAGAATGGGGTCGACATTCGGTTGTGTATCGACTACAAGCTGGTAAACGTGATTACGTTGCTCAAGGAGTACGCCATGCCGCTAGTAGACGATCTCCTCACGGAGTTGGAAGCGTACCTATTGTTCTGGTCTTTGGATGCTGCTAGCGGTTTCTGGGCGGTCATGATGACTCGACTGGCGCGTTGGATCTCGGCTTTTGTTTGCGCGCTTGGCCACATCCAGTGGCTGCGGATGCCCTTCGGATTAAAGAATGCCCCAATGATCTACCAGCGCCTTATTGATAACGCTCTGTGGGGTTACGTACAACCCAAGGGCGGCTGGAAGGTGTTCGCCAAGCGCATCCAACAAGCGGTAGCCGCCTCAGAAGCTCAGCGGAAACGGCTCGCAGCCGACATCGACTTTGAAGCCAGTGGCCAGACCAAGTTTGAGGCCGACCGCCGAGCTCAAGCTGAGTTTGACCCGTTGGAAGAATTCATTAACAGCCCAGAAGCCGACATGTTCCGGACGGGTGAACCTGATGAATCATGCCTTGCACCGGTTTTCGACCGGCGATCGTTTGTGGACGATATCTGCTTCGGTGGGAGGACGTTCGACGATTGTTTGGGGACGCTTGACCGATTGCTGCAACGCTTCACTGAATGCCGCATCAGCGTCAGCTTCCCGAAAAGCATCTTCGTCCAACCTAAAGTCGACTTCCTGTCACATGGGGTGACCTCGGCTGGAATCCAAGCCGACCAGAAAAAGATGCTGGCGATAGCCGGACTACCGTTCCCGACGACGAAGAAGGGGATGCAAGCATTCTTAGGAGCGCTGAACTACTACGGCCGGTTCATCCAGAACCTGGCTGTATATGGGGCGGTCCTCTATCAGCTGAAGGACGAAGATTTCGGACCCGGTGGTGATCTGACGGCCGCAAAAGCGGCGTTCGCCGAGTTAAAACAGAAGGTGGTCGACGCACCCATACTCCGCCTTTTCAACTCGGCTGAGGACGTCCACGTTCTGCTATTCGCCAATGAGTGGGCTCTGAGTAGCACGCTGATGCAGCTCCGCGACGGGAAGCTCCATCCAGTGCGGTTCTGCGGCCGAGTCCTCAAGGATAATGAACTCGGTTACCATCCCGCCGAGAAAGAGGTGCTCGCATTGCTGCAACTCATCAAAGTGTGCCACACGCTGCTAGCCGGGAAGACCATCCACGTTTACACCCGCTACTCATCCCTCGAATAGGTGTTCCAGTCGAAGTCTCTCTACGGCAGAGCAGTCAGCTTTGCGGTCTGCTATCACCGTTCCACCTAAAGGTCAAGCGGGTCCGCGAACGGGACACGGATTTCGCCCAGTTGCTCCAAGCGTCCATCACGCCGGCAGTGGGATTGGACGAGCTACTAACGCATGTCACTCCGCCGTCCAAGAACTCGGCTGTGGTCCGCATGGACCCAGAATTGCTGTATGCGCATGTGCCCCGAGAATTCAAGGGACACGTCCTGTCGTTTGACGGATCGGCGAAGGCTGCTAAACACGGCGGGTTCGGGAGTTGTTCTTGGATCCTGTGGCGTTTGCCAGACTGGAACATTGAGATCGCTGCGAGCGCGCACCTCCCATCGACCACGGTGAATATAGCAGAGTACACCGGTATGAACAATGGGGTGACCTCGGCCATTGAGCGCGGGGTGACGGATTTGATCATCGTGGGCGACTCTCGGGTTGCGATCCAGCATTCCATGGGGGTGATCGCGTGTAAGAAGGAGGCATTGCAAGTCGAGTTAGCACGCCACAAGAAATTGGTCAGCAAGCTGAATTCAGTTCGCTACCTCCACGTAGTGCGTCTCTACAGCTCGGCTGCTGACTCTTTAGCGACCGAAGCACTGGAAACCAAAGCAGGAAAGGTCGTGCTAAGCGCCGGACGGAAAACCGAGTTGAAGACCCTAAACAGGATCTCCGAGGTCCTGTACGTGGACACGGACTCGGCTGCAGCCCCGGCCGAGGGTGTTGAGATGGCTGTCGTGACAAGGAGTCAAGTCCGCCGAGTCCGTTTCGAAGACGAAGCGGCAGAACACCCAGTCCCGAACCCAGCTACGAATGAGGAAGCCGAACGTAATGACTTTGAACGAGATAGCCGACCTCCGCCTGCTAGACAGCGGGTGACGGGAGAAGCCGAGTTCGGTAGCGCAGCACCACCAGCGAACCCAGCTGAGCTGGTAGCCGAGCTCGGAGAAGCCCGGGAGCCCAACGCCATGGACATCGATCCGGTAGTGGTCCAAGCTGAGCGCCGACTGCGAATAGCAAGAGCTCAAGACGAGGAACAACGATGGGCCGACTTGAAGACCTACCTGAGAGGGGATTATGCGCAGCTCACACATCGCCGAGCTCACAACGCTGGGAAAGTTGCCGACGAGCTTGTGCTCAGTGAAGACGGGCTACTGTACCGACAAGGCAAGGCCAGACCACCTGGCGAACTCGGCGAACTAGGCTTATCCCTTCGACTGGTGGTTCCGACGACCATGATAGACGAGGTCCTGCAGAACTGCCACAACTACATCGAGGGAGGCCACCAAGGGATTGTGCGGACATACCACAGGGTCAGAGCCGACTACTACTGGATTGGGCTGTACGCCGACGTGGTCAAATATGTCCAAGCGTGCGAAGACTGCAGTACCAGTAAGAGCAAACCGCACCTGAAGGGCTATTCACCTGGCAACGTAGTGTCTGAGCGACCGTTCCACGTGGTATCGATGGACTTTGTCATACCACTGCCGAAGACTCGGCGGGGCAACACTGCACTCCTGTTGTTTCAAGACCACTTCACCGGGTTCGTGATTGCTAAGGCAATGAGTGAGACTGGGGCACTTGAGGTAGCGAAGGCCTTCGAAGAGAACGTGTTCCGGAGGTTTGGAGCTCCATCACTGGTACGCCACGACAGAGATCCCTGGTTCACGAGTGAAGTGTTCCAGAAGTTCTCGGAGATGATGC